TGCTGAAAGTTTAAGTATAATATGTTATATAATTAGGTTCGACGGACTTGGATTTTAATTCGAAATATTATTAATAGTACAATAATACTTATTGTGCTGTCAGGCATTGACGGAAATCGGAAAAGGGGGGGCTTGAGGGGTCTAAGCCCTTTTTATCGTTGAGTATTGACGAATAAATCAGTGCATACTCATATTAATAATATTGTAAAGATATTTTATACGTTGTTCGAACATTTTGTAATATCTCATGTTATATTTTACGACCGTTACCTATTATGTTACAATATACAAATAGCTAAAACGAAAAATGTTACCTACCTACCTAAAAAAAAAAAAAGAAGAAAGATTTAAAACTCCTACGCAATCGAAATACCGAGTGGCTAGGTGGGCCCTTTCGAATTTTCTGACTAATGTTATAAAATTATGACGTTTCACGACAACCGCCAGATACCATCAGAATGACGCCGACGATTGAGTCATAGAAAAAAGATAAATAAGAGACCATTCACGTCGAAACCGCGAGCAAACAAAAACTAATATTTTTTTACATTATTTTTTTTTTCTAGTGATTTACCCGCTGATACGGTCGCTGTACACAGGAGTATGATATTAATAATAATAATAAAACCAAAACATTACGCGAGTCTAAATTCGATTTGCGCGTGTGAAAATACAATAAAAGCCGGTACCTATGTTATCATTGTTATTAAAAAGATAAGGTATACTTACAATAGGTACTTACATACATCAATCCTTTACTTATTTAAAGGTATTATTATAATTCGACTCTATTTCTGTGGCCGGGGGGGGAGGGGGGTTGGGGTTGCTAATATTATTTCGGCAGCAGTCCAAAACCGCTGTAAACAAAAATTATTGGGTAAAAATAGGTATTGTATAATATTATCGTTAATATATATTTACATTTGTCCACAACATTACAATAATGCGCATATACCTACCCACCTGTTCTTTGCATTACACCGGTATGTAAGCTCAGCCCCCTCGAAATTCCTCGCTAGCATAATATAATATTATGTATATGGGTACCTGTGAAAGTGGCGTACCTAGTCCTTTCTTACAGCGGGGGTGGGGGGCGCCATATATTTTGACCCGATCTTTAAAATAGGACATTACTTAAAAAAAATAACGAGAATTTCGTATATACGATTAGTAGTTTTAGTTTTACTCTTTTATACATTTTGTTCGAGTCCACCGCGAATTTCGTGAAAAAATACAACAACCCGTCCGACAGCGGTGGGCCGCTGTCTGTTTAACCAGAATAATGCATTTAAATAGAGAACATAGTCCGCGGCGCATCGGCGACCTGGCCGCGCGGTCAGTCCGCTTTCCGTTTGTACCGGTCCTTAAAACGAGCGTCACATATCGCTAACGGCCGGCGCTGACGTTGTCGGCTAATCACAGAACGCGTAACTATCGCCCGTGGATCATAAAATGATTGGTGGCACAGTCTGCATGCGCGAAAGCGGTTCAACCTTATTTGGAAAAAAGTATAGTATACGAAGAGAAAACATAATGTTCAAGTTGATTGAGGATGTTGTCATGTTGGTGATTGCTTAGGTTACCATGGTTATTGTAATACACTGAAAACTAATCTACATCTATATAGACGGATTAATCCACCTCGGTTGAAATATAATATTTCACATTATTATGTCCACATTAAATCATTAAAACCTAGGTATATATTTTAAAACAGCCATATTTTGTATAAGTAAGGTAACATTGTCATTTGTTCTAAGTAGGTCGGTACTGATAAGAGCCGTTTTTAGGTTCATGATAAGAACGGGAGTCGACGTCAAGATCTTGAATGGCAACACCTTGAACGGAAAAAGCTTTAATGGCAAATTCTTGGACATCAAAATTTTGAATCTAGAATATGGGTTTTGTTTTCTAGAGCGTTGTTGTGTGTTTTCATAGCTGGGTTGTCAGTTATGATTTTGTTATAACTCATATTAATTGTTTATAAGATCGAAGTTGTTCCCAGTTTCTTTTTTAAACATTTCAAAACTATCTTTTAGTTTTAATATTATGTCCTTTATATAAGATTCGTATTATCATCAACAGCAGTGTTAGAGTAATTTTTACAGTTTTTCACCTTAAAGCGCCTATGCAGGTTTTACTGATGTTCAAAAAATTGCTCAATACGAATATCACTCATACCTTGTGTAGAGAGAACTGATTCCGTTAATCTATTTTTTTGGTTGTAAAAAAATATTATATGTATATTTTTTTCGACTTACAATTAAAAAATGAAACTACGTACACTTTCTTTGGACTATGCTTGTCGCGGAGGCACAGAGTTGCAATGGAATTACCCTACAATCGAATTATGAACAAAAGATTGTTATTTATAAATAAAATAAAGAACAAACCAGTTATATTGAGCTAAATTCATAAAATTCGTCTTTACTGTTGTGTGAGAACGCTTAAAATGTGTACATAACATTTGAAGGCTCGTATAGGTACATTGTGATAAATTAATAAAATGCTATTTCGGCACAGCAGTTTTCAGAGTGGGTATTATTGTTTCCTTAGTGCAGTGGAATAGAGAAGCATTGTATATTAGGCAACAGGTTTCGACGAGTTCACCAATAGTTCTCCGGCCATTACCAGTCAAGAAGTACGCCGATCTAGCTATCACCGGACGAGACGTGCGCCGATTCAGTTGCACGCTTCAGCCACAACGAAAAAACAATCGTCTTCAGTTTCAAAAAAACATCATTGTTCAACAGTCAGCAAAACAAATACAAAAATTACTAGCATTCAGTAATATTACCGACAAACCGTCAAAAATCACGTATCTATATTTTATTTTTAGTATTCGTTTTTGAAAATGGTAGAGGAGTTAAAACTTTGCAACACTAAATATTATTGAAAAATCAACTGGATAGAATTTTTCGAACATTTTTATTCGATTAAAAAAAGATTTTAATAAATTCATGCCTTCAGTTAATTTTAACGAAGAAAAATGTCGATCCGTTAAAAATATTCGCGGGAACAACATTATCAACAACTACTGCTGCACTAGAAATCAAAAAAAATTCCATTCGTATTGTATGCACAACTCAAATTATGTGCACTATCCTAGTACAATGTAATTAAGTTATTAAGTAAATAGTAAAGAAGAGTCGAGATTTCTATGAGACGTAAAAATAAGTTTAAAAAAGTCATATAAGTATAAAAAAATTACTAGCAGGACCCCTAATATGACTAATTGAGAATTTGTCATTTGACAGGAATATGCAATAACCTTCTTTTTGAAAATGTAGCATTGACTGTTTACCTCTCTTTATTAGGAGCGTAAGTTATATTAATGCATGCCTTAGTGATGTGCGTACTTTTTCCGCTTTTTGCGCTTTTTCTTGGATAAACTAACGAAAATTACATTGGATTATGGGTCAGAACCCGTTAGGTTCAAACAAAAAAGCGAACAATTTTCATAATATGTGCATCTACCTAGTGGTAAAATTTTGAACTACAGAAATAATCAGCTAAAAACATTTTTGTTGTACAGAGTGCATTCAACTAATTTCATGTTATGGAATATATTCGATACACTCGTTGGTGCATTTGTAAGTGTTATGTGTTAATTGTATTTATGTTCAAGCTTTTTGGTTTATTATGTTTCTTATAAAGTATATATTTTATAATTTCGTCTCTTCTATTATCTATCTATTAAAACTTTATCTCATGGTCATACATGATATTCGGAAAAAAAAATCTAAAAAATAATTATGGCTATGATCACACTTATTACTTATGTATTATATTGTCGCATGTGTTATGTATGGTTGATATAAATCTGTTCTCATTTGTGTTAATATCAGTAATATCATTACAAAATAATGAATTTATATTCGTATTGCCGTAGATTTTTAATATCATGTTTTTTTTATTAGTTCCCATTCCAATTGTTACTAATCAAATCAGTTATGGAAAACGCTATATTAGCATATACATAAGCTTATACTTTTTTTTACATTTGTTAAATTGTTAATATTTCTTTAGGTTCATGTCGAACCTACCGATTTGTAATGAACTAGTGAATATATTTTTCGTGTGTCTAATGTGTGATTTTCTCGAACATATTTCTGCGTAGTTTTATTGTGTGTATCTCATTTTTGGAATTTTCGATTTGTGGTAGCTCACTATTCATAATTTTGGATTTCGCTTTTAATAACGTCAATGCGACCGTCCAGCACTTGTATTTGAGCTATCTATTAGGTTTTTTTTATCGGTATTTCGATTTGTAGAAATTATGTGAAATCTTTCGTTGTATACAGCACATATAAATTTTCATTTGCAATCTACACTTAAATGATAATTTTTACGGCAGCATTTATACTAATGTTTGGACANTCCGTGACATTCGAAAATTTATTGTATTCGGATTTTTGTACTTTCAACGATTTCCGAGTATTTTTTTTTTTTTAATATGTACGTAACTATTTATATCTCAATTATTCTTGATTACATTTTATGAATGTTCGATAATTACAAATATCGGTATAATTTTCCGAACTGAATGACCGAAGTCGAAGTGTTTAAACAAAATTTCTATGTACAATTTTATTTTATTGAATACATTTAAACATTTTAAAAAATGTGTGTAAAACAATCTGATATTAAAGTGATTTTAATCGATGGTTCCAGACTCGCCCTACTAGGTACGCTTACAACACGTGTTTTGACAATAAAATTTTTTTGTGTTTGTGGCCGATAATGTTCTCATGATAGCGCTCATGCCTTTCGAACTTTCATTTGGTTTGAAATACGCTCACAGGTGTTATAATTATTATTAATAAATAATACCGGCGTTTGTATAGGTATTCTACTTTTTAAAACTCTGCATCATATTAAAGACGGCACCGTTGTTTTATGGGATTATGGCATTATTATATAGATTAATCCCGAAATTTGAAATAGCCTCAATAAAAATGTATACCCGATGTGGTCAAAAGTGAGGTAGCCTTGATAACATGTTCTCGACCGGTTATAAAGGTAATGTAATGTGGTAATCGTTTTTTAAATGTAAATTAGTTGTTTTAATTGATGTGTAAGAACGCTAATATAGAAACGCACTCAACGATTTAAGGCTAGTTAAAATTAATTTATATTTTTTTTCGACATTAAAAAAAAATGTACAATTAACTAGTTACAATTGAAAAATGAAAACACGAATACTTCCGTTGGACTATGCTAGTTGCGGAGTCGCAGATTTGCAATGTAATCACTCTCAAATCGAATAGTGACCCGAACAAACCTGTTTTATCGAGCCAAATTAATATAAGCCGTCTATATTGGTGTGTGTTAAATATGTAAATACAAATTGAAGGCTCGTATAGTAACATTGTCATAAATTAGTAAAACGCTATTTCGGCATAGTTGTTTTCTGAGTAGGTATTATCGTTTCTTTATTGCAGTGGAACAGAGAAGCATTGTACATCAGGCCACAATTTTAAACGATATTTTTAGTTCACCAGCCATTACGTGCTGATTCAGTTGCACGCTTCAGGCACAACGAAAACTCAACTGTCTTCAGTTTCAAAAAACATCACTGTTCAACAGCGTCATCAGCAATAAATACAACAGTGACTAGCATTCAGTAATATTACTGACAAATCGTCAAAAATCACGTGAGTATCCATATTTTCATTTTAATATTCGTTTTTAAAAACGGTAGAATTTTTAAGCTTTAATCAAATGCTCTTTAATACATTGTAGGCATTGTAATTCTTTCGCTACGTAATTTTAATTTATTTTTTTTAGATTCGATGCCTCGCGAGGGATCTATTGGTTTTACTATGTTGTATGTATTCTATTTTTTTTTCTGTCTCAGAACAACTTTTTTACCATTAACTTGCTCCAAAGTGTGAACTGTACTACTTTTCTGAAACATAATTTTCTCTCATTGGTGTATTGGAAAGGTCACTTTTTGATTTTCCAGTGGGTTTTCGAATAATCATGTAAAACGCGAAAAAATGTATAGGTAAAACGGTAAATTTACGGCGCGCCGTGACCTTACAATTTTCATTATTTCTATTGTGTTAACATGATTTTTCTAACAGAAATATTTCTCCAATTGAAATATGAAAAGTGATTAATTTTGTTCAAAAGATATTTTTTGTTAAATTTTTAAACTAGTTGGTGATCAGGAAAATCATTTTTTAATTTTCATTGTAGTACTTTCAATGATCGAACAGAAACGAAAAAAAATGCAGAAACTACGGAAAAATATACGAAAAAAATTATTTTTTTATTTTCAATGTTGTTTTTTTACTGCAATTATATTTATTATATTCATCAAAAATTGTATTTAGATATTTAGATACTTATATTATTTTTTTCTAGACATAGTAACATCATTGAGACATTTGCAAAATTTTTGAGTTAACAATATAAATTTAATTATGTGGATAAAAGTGTTAAACTATACGAAAAAGGCCTAACAACTTAACAGGAAGCTTCTTAAATGTCGTACTTAGTTTAAAAAAAAAAAATTGTTTTATATAGTATTCTTTTTTAAAAAGAGCTTACTCTTTCTATTCGGGTTTTTGATCAGTTGAATACATATGTAGAGGAGAATATATATATTTTAATCCCTTAATCATGAAAAAAAACAACTTTATTTTTCAATTTTCAAAATATCCCTTTTGTAAAAAATGTTATTATAAAAATTCTTATGTACCCTACATTCATATTCGATCACTAATTTCTAATTAATATCTGTTTTAATTTCTCGAAAACTGACGTGAAAACATTTTAATTATTATCAATAAATGATAAGGAATAACCTGTAGATTGTGATTCCTTATCGTGTGTCATTTTATTCTATTGAAATCAAATTGTTTTCACACCAATTTTTTAGAAATTAAAACAGATATTAATTAAAAACTATTTATTGAATATGAATGTATGGGACATTAGAATTTGTATGGTAGTATTCTTTTTACGAAATATCTATTTTGACAATTTTAAAAAGTGAAAAAATAAAGTTATATTTTTTAGTGATAAGGGAAAAAAATATTTACCTCTCACTGTGTCAAACCTGATTAAAAAATAAATAATGACGGAGTTATATATATAAACTGGGCTTCAAACGTACATAAAATTAAAAAGACTGACCTACTTCATGTGTGAGTTCAGCCACTGTTGTAGGTGGGAAGTAAAGAAATAGGATACAGACGGGAAATTAATGTACAGAGTGATTATTTTATTATAAACCAGCAATTATCTCAGAGGATTTTAAGTGAATTTGATTCAGCTTAGCCTAATCATTATGTAATCGATTCAAATTATCAGTTTCAACTCTTGATAGTTTTGTTAATTCATTAACTTTTACTTGTTTTTTTTTATTCTTAGTCCAGAACAATTTTTTTTGAATTTGCTTTTCTTTATTATGTAGTTTTTTTACTTTTTTATTAACCATTGGCTTGATTTGATGTTGTATTAATAAATGATTTAACAGCATTTAGTTGTTGTACAACTCCTTTATGTTGATCATTATTTTTAAAATTATTTATTTTACTAACTAGACTAATAGCTTTTTAACAGCCGAGTTTGAACAATCGTTTGTTGGCGGTCATCGATAATGGTTGATCTAACGACAGGTATACAATAATCACGATTATCAGTTATATTATTACGATTTTCAGAAAATATTGACACATATTTATATTTTTATATTGATAGTCTAATTTTTTTTTTTAAATTTTTTTTTCAACTATTATGAAACGTCTTTAAGTTAAAATGATTCATTTTTAGAACTTTTCTGAGTTGTAATATAATAATTACATTTATGCATTTAGATGGACGCAGCAAATTCGCAATCGATATTGAGCGTAGCATGGCAGCCAATTGCAGGTTACGCAGCGATCGCTCTTTTCGCGTTATGGTTCGGACACAGGTGGCTACTGAATCGAAAAGAACTTTCACACCGTAAAGTATTGACCAGTAAAATGAATGGGCCTAAAGTTTGGCCGATCGTTGGAAATGCGCTTGAGTTAATCGGGTCGGCTGAAAGTGAGTAGTATATTAGTAGACATAAATATCACCTGAAATAAGTAGTCGCTAGTGTAATTACCAGATAGAATGTTGAGTCGATATGGTAAGAACGGAATTTAAACACCAGCTATTAAACAGAATATATTTCTATATTGAATTTAATATCACTCGGCATAAATTGTTTAACTGGGAAAGTAAATGGTAATGGAGAGTCGAGATACCTATGAGTTTTGAAATTTAGTTTATAAAAGTTATATAAATTTAAAAAAAAGTTACTAGCATGTTTCATAATATGACTAATTCCGAATTCGTCATTTAAAAAGGAATATGCAATAACCTTATTATTTTTTCCAGTGGTTGTGGATAAAATAACGAAAATGACATTGGATTATGGGTCAGAACCGTTTAGGTTTTGGATGGGTTCGCATCTTTTTGTGGTCATTACAAATCCAGAGGATTTGCAAGTATGAACTTTTTACCAGTAAATTTGTTATGATTTACAATGATAGCAACTTTTTTGACAGAAAATCTGACTGGAGTGGTACATAAGGAAGTTATACAGAAGGAATTTTTCATTTTCTAAGGAGTTTTCCTAATAAAAAAGGATACAATTCTCGTATAAAACATAAAAGAAAAAAACATTATAAACATACGAAAAACGAGAAAATAGTGATAACATAAAACTAATATTACTAAAGGAAATGTTTAAAGCACATGTAATTATTCTACCACTATGTAACATATTTCTTTTTCACAAATCACTATCAACCGATTTCAAACTTCACTTAATGCAGTATTTTCGGTGGCAATGGTGAATCTTTGCTTACAGTAATACATTAAATCATATTTTGAAATAAACCAAAAAAACCTAAATTTATAATTATAATGTACAATAAATTCGTAAAACACTTTTAAGAAATAGCTAAGATATTAGAAAAATAATTGTTAAGTTAAATTTAATCTATTTATTAAAATAAAAAAATATGTATTCAATCAAGTCTCGGTTGTATCATTCTTATAGGTTTTTTATTCTATACTATAAAACGTTTTTCTAGCGTTTTAAGTGCATGTTCTAATGAAGTCTGTAGTATGAAAAAAGTTAAGAGATTTCAACTTTACGCCAGTATATACTGGCGGTGCAAATATGTTTTTATAGTGTAAATGACCATTTACATCTAAATCCATATATGATATTAATATACCTAATAATAATATATTGATAAAGTGATATTCGTCTGGTGCATTTTTTTTTCACGCACATCTAGGTCCAGTATTATAGTTATATATTAATATTAATATACCTAATAATAATGTATCGAATACGTGATATTCGTTCAAAGTATATTTTTTATTTTACCGAAACTAGTATAGTAGACTTAACAGCATATGCGAAAGTAATTTTTTAATAAAATAAACTTCTGTATTTGTTTCAGATCGTGTTAAATAGTTCCAAAGCCCTGGATAAACCGTGGCTTTATGACATGATATTTGATATAGCAGTAGTAAGTACATTTTTAGCCAAGGGTATATTTTAGGTTCAATAATATACCTCTACAATCTCAATAATAATATATCATTAATTTAATAATATCACTAGAATAACTTAGTTAATGAATTAAATCATGTGTTGAAGCTACTGCATTAAAATTGTAACTTCATCAACGTATATAATATATAAAATGCATACTTAGTATGTGAGATATATTTTGTAAAACATATTTATAAAAATCTGAAAGTCATTGAAATAATAGAACCCCTGGACATTTATATATAAAAAAAAAAATTACTTTAGTGTGGATTCTAATGAATCTCGGGAATCTCATATTACGCCACCCCTATATAATATATTTGTTAATAGTATCAAAATTCCAATTTATAAGTGTTATTTTTCTCCGAAAAATTCAAAATATTTCGTGGTATTGAAAATTCTGATGACACTTAAAATTCTTCAATACGATTTAAACCTTTTCTGTAGTTGGCGTGACCTTAATAATTTATGTCTAAATATCTTTTAATGCAAAAAAGTTATTTTCTCGAAAAGCCGATCCTCATATCTTATTCGTGTCCACCAATACAGGGATTTAGTTTTTTTGTTAATACATCTCTATCATTTAATACTCATTGTGCACCTATGAATAATAAGACGTCATCTATGTTAGGTTTCATGGATTGAAGCGGTAAAGATGTTGAAAACTCAATTGTACTTAAATCAGCGCATAGCACATATTTGCAGTCTATGTTTAATTACGAATCCTTAGTTTGATAACCATACATTTTGGGATCAATACAAGCCAAAGAGCCGGTTCTGAAACGATGTGTGATAATACAGTAGAAGACACTTTTTAAGAACACTTAATTAACCGATTGTTTCTAATAAACGATTGGTTTTAATTTTCGATTGTCTTAATACACGACTGTTCCGTTTTGTTTCAATAACGTGTTTCTAATTAGCGGCTTCTACTGTAGTTTATTTAGATTTGACATTGTACGGCAATCCTATTCCTCTTATGAGACAGAGCTAACCTTTTTAACTCTTTTTTCACTCGAATCAAGACGAAGGCTTAGGTTTCTACTGCAATTTTACATAACTCAATGGAAATATTTATTGTCTTTAATTTATTATTAATATAAATTGTCAAACTAAATTTTTCAGTTTATAGTCGTAGTACTAGACAGTCAAATACAATATATGTGCTATGTCAGTTTATAAACTATAGTTTGAATTCTCTAGTAATTAGATGAATGGTACTTGTAAATAAGTTTAATGTTGATCCTTTTCATGTGCAAATACTAATGCTAATTAAGCATATCTTAATGTTTTACTTTCTTAAACTATTAATGGTATATCCTTAATGTATAAACTTATTTATTTCTTATATTATCTTATTTTATGCTTACAAATTACATTTTCATTGGGCTGTTCCCCGTCTAAATAATGAATAAATTGTATATTGATAGGTAAAAGATGGCGAAATAATCGAAGCATATATAATGCTTTCTTCAATATCAAAGTTCTACAAAAATATTTCCCAATTTTTCACGAAAATAATCAATTACTTATCAATGATCTGAACAAGGAAGTAGAAAAGACGGAGCTGTTCGATCTTTGGGAGTACATCGCCGTCACAAATGTGGATTCAATAAGTCGTAAGATATAGTAGATTAAGATGTAATTGATAACGAATTCCATTAGACTATAATGTGATGTCGATTGTTGAGTTCCTTATAAAATATATCAACCTCTACAGAAAAAGACAACAAAAAAAAGTTATTTTTTGATTTTCCAAGTGGTTTTCAAAATAATTGGGAAAAACGAAATCAAAACTATAGAAAATCTAACAAGGTGTAATATATTGTCATTGGTTGCCTGTTAAATACAGATCCTGAATTTCATTATAGGTGCGTCGATAGTTAAAAAAATACGTGTATTAATGCTTGCCTTATAATAAAATCCTATAAACTAAATAGGTTTTATTCTATACTCCATCACTGCAGTCATTCTAGTCTGGTGGAAAACTCTGTAGTTATATGAAAAATTTGTTTATTATAAACATTGAAATGAATAATCCAATTTGATTTTTTTTTTCTATAGATATCGTATTGGGATATGATTTGAAAGAGCTACCATATGGCACGTGTAATACGGTACACATTGCTATAGAATTGTATGCACTCTATAATAATAACTTAGTACCCTTATTGTAAATTTTGTTCAATTTCATCGTTTTCATTTTTAGAGCTGTACAGATGGCAGGGATGAGAGCTTACCAAATTTGGTTGCATCCATATTTCATATTCAAATTATACCAAAGATTCACAGGAATTTCTAAAAAAATTAATAGAGGATATTATTTATTAGATAAGGTAGTTATGTATTTAAGGTATACACCGTCATTTCATTTATGTGTACTGCCCGAGTATTTTTGATATGCTGGATTGCGGTTATAGACTATCAGATATCATAGCAATATTAATGTGTACTTATAAAAAACCACAGGCACATAGGAAACGATAGTTGATTTTAGATTCTGAGTGGAGAAAGGAATGATAGTTTTCAAAAAAAGGTTTTTTTTTTCTGTGAACAAGATTTCTACGAGCAATTTTGCTTCGGTTTACAATAAAAATACTTTTGTTGAAAGGGGACCAGATTTGGGAGGTTTTTTTATGAAGTTTATTTTTTGATTTTCCCAGGAGACTTTTTATTATTTTTCATTGTCATTACATGTAAATATACAATGACTACGAATCAAACAAGTAAAATATGACCTCATTGGTCTTTTGAAGTATTAGTCTTAGGAAAACTTTGCTGATCAACCATGCAAAGAGTCTGTTTATATTATTGACAAAACGATTTTAATGACATTTATTGTAAACATGAAATTCTTTAAAATCATTTTTTGTAATTCTAAAATCCTTTCGATGAAATATCATGACGGATTCAGAGAAGCAGGGTGAAAAAAAAATTCAATAAATTTGATTTATGAGCATCGGACTCGAACTTGATAACATTGTTATTATAGACGTCATGCTATAAGTTTAAAAGGTAACCTAACCTAATTTATTCCCACATAAATAAACATTTTTATATCAAGTAAATTGGATTTGAGTTTAAGGATCGTTTTAAGTAGGGAGCAATAATACTCTATCGGGCTTTAAATATTAAATTAATAATTATTAGATTCTCGCTATTAAAAAAGAAGAATTCAAACGGAAGAAATCAGTAATCAAAAAATACTCTTTGGATTTTACCGATGAAAAACAAGGTGAGTCTAGAATTATAATTATATGATTTTGTCCGTGTAATATGTTTTTTTCTCAAAGGTTCTTCAGAAAGTTTGTTGGAAATGACTTTGGAATCAAGCAAGAAAATCGAAAACTTCTCCGATAAATATATCAGAGAAGAGATCATCTCCTTTGTTACGGCCGTGAGTACCTGATGTTTTAAAATTTAGCATTTGAGGTCATGTTATATATATCCATCTGAGTATACATCTTTTATTTTATATGAATATTTTATTATTATCGTTTCAGGGCAGTGAAACTATGACTGTTACAACTTGTTTTTGTCTTTTAATGTTGGCCATCCATCAAGATATCCAAGTAGGTATACCTATTGGTGGTGCTATTATATTTTTTTTTTTTTATAAAGCGATTTGAATAAAATATCATCAGGGAAAGAACCTTCACAAACTAAGGGTAAAATGAATAATGAATTTTAAATAAAGCTAGATATTCCTGTACTTCACATTTTTTCTAATCATACGAAGTGATAATATTAACGAAGCTAAATTTTGCAATAGCTCGTAGCCACTTTTACGTTAACTTAAATATGCAAAATTCTTAAACAAGGGATGAGTACGGCTACTGTTGTAGGTGGACATTTGTAAACGTGAAATACATAAAGCTATTTAACTTATACCTGTAACTAACAATAAACCATAGCTAGTCCATAGAGTAGTTGCCTACCGAATACAAATTATATGCACAACTCACAAATTAAAAAGAAAATAAGTAGCTCAAAAAAGACTCAAATGTTTTGAAAATTGTATTATATAATTATATTATTTATTTCTACATACATTTTTTCCAAATGCCAGAATAAAGTGTACGACGAAATATACAATGTTTTTGGTGACGGTGATGAGATAATTACCATGGAAGACACTGCTCAGCTAGTGTATTTGGAACAAGTGTTAAAGGAAACAATTCGAATTTACCCAGTAGTACCGATAATTATCCGAGAAATTCAGGAAGACATTCAAATTTGTGAGTACTTACGTAATATTTTGTTTGTGTCGTATCGCTTATTGATTTTTTTATCATTTAAATAAAGAAATGTACGTAATACTTAATATACAGGTTGAGCAGTTCAGCGTAAGATACTCAATTACTCGAAACGTATAGATTTATTATCAGAATCGATTACATAGAAAAATTTAAGAGACAACCAGCTATACAATTTTGTATTTATGTTATTGTTTGTCATTTTGATTTAAAGTGAACGATTGACTACTTTTGAAATTTTCAAACAGCAAAAATCTATGTTAAAAATTGTATGAATAGATGTAACTCCATCTATTTAGTTAAAATACATTTTTGTGTTTATATTTTTGATTTCAGTTAATCCGTTAAGTTATTTCCTCAATAATATTTCCAGCCAGGAATATCTCCAGTTAAAAATTTCTTTGATAAAGATTATCCCTTATGGGAAATTTGTAAATTGTAAACATTTTTAAATTTTACTTTACATATATTTCATGCTTTTGAGTAGTATACAGATTCTTTTATTATTTCCCCTAAAATTAAATAAATAATAAATGACGGACATTCTTTGTACGATGGATGGGTCACTGTTGTAGAGGAGGATATAGAGGGGAACTTTAAAAATATCCGTTGTGAACATTTTACTTATAAAGGTAAATATAAGGTTTCTATCTTAATTTCAAGTCTCTACGAACATTTGAAACTGAAATGTAACAAAAAATCAATATTTAAAATTATAAAAGCATTATATTTTTAAATTTTCTCATTTTCCTTACATTTAAATCGGCAAAATTTCCGGATCTTTTATTATCTATATTAATATAGATAGTTGTTTAATAACATGAAATCATATGTTTATAATATGCTCTAAAAATTTCCTATATTTGGTTGAGTATTTGATTTAATATACTCTACATTTGTGTTTTTTGTAATCAGTTCAATGCCAAATGTATTGTCCAAACCTTTTCTGTAAAATGAATAAATCTACCAATAATGGGGTAATATAGTTTTGTATTTTTGTCTAACGAAAGGCATTCTTGTTTCTGTTTAAACAAAATATAAAACTGACGACTTGTAGTTGAAATGGTTGAACCGATACAATTGGTGCGTTGATAAATATCGTTTATCATGTTATTTTTTGTCTACAGGAAAATTTAGTTTTAATTACTTCATAAACTCGTAGCATAGGAGCAGGTAATCAGGAAAAATATTTTAGATAAAACTAAAAAATACTAATATAGTGATTATTTTTTTATTTTTTATGGGATATTTCTATTAACGATATTTTTATATGAGATGTTTTGTATGGGAGAAACTATTTTCTAAAGATATTCTTAACTGGAAATATTTGGCTTGAGATATTTTTGCGCATTTACAGTGTTACTACACAAATGATGCTTCACTACTATTCACTGGCCAAAATTTAAAAGCGGAATGCCTTAATAACAGATTAACAGATATCAAAACTTAAAACCAAAATATTTTTTAGGCTAGGACTCCATCAATATATTTATTTTTTTATTTTGGTTACCATTTGAAAATAAAGAGTCAGTAGTAGTTTTAACAACCGAATAAAATGTGATGGAAAATGACAAATTGTAGAGTTGCTCGTTTCTTAAATGTTTTGTAAAACAAATTTCGAAAAAAGTTCATAACCCCTGAGATAAAGAGTGCAATGGGTTAGAAAGATCACCTTGAATGTCCAAAAAAATTATTTATATATTCACATTTTAATAAAGAAATTTATAAATAATATCAAAACAAATTAATATGATCCATATAGGTTCCGGCAATCATGTTATCCCCAAAGGAACGGCGTGTGTTATAAACATACTGAACACGCATTATATTCCTACATTATACCCGAATCCGGGAGNTCCGGAGAACTTCAACAAGGAAAACATCACTACTCGTCACAGATACAGTTTTATGGGTTTTAGTCGCGGTGCAAGAAATTGTATAGGTCAGTTTATAATATTATATCCCAGTGCTTGAATTAAAGGTAGTAGTGAATTAGAGGCCCAAAAGAAAATCATAATTAATAAATAATACATGATAATTAATACATGATTTTTGATTTAATACAATTATAGGGAATCAGTACGCTATGCAGTACATGAAAGTTCAGATGTCCATGATATTGCGAAATTTCAGCGTACACACAAACATAAAAATGGAAGACATCAAAGTAAAGGCGGATATTATTTTGAGGAGCGTCAACGGTTTTCCTGTTAAAATTCGACCGAGAAATACGGTCTACGGTTAAATAGTATCTACTTAGAAATAATTTTGTAGTTTAATAACACAAAATTTGATTCTCGAAATTATTATTGATTTAAACGGTTTTCAAATAGGTTTTTGAAAATTGTTGTTAACTGTTAAGCGTCTTTTTTTTACAGATTTTCTTCTTACTTACTATACTTTTATTTCATGTATAATGGTTGTTAAATATTTTTATAATATTGAATAAATATTGAATAATTCAGCAAACCCGAAAAAATGCAGACAGTACGGGAAAATATACGAATATATTTATTCAAGTTTTGAATTTACAATAGACAATTTTCTGAGTTTTGTACGTAATTTATATTCGGTTGGTAATCTGTGTCTAAAATTGTTACACAATACAGAAATGCTTGAAAATTTAACAGGAAATTTCTTAAGTGTCGTACTTAGTGTTAAACAAAAAAAATAGTTTTATGTGGTATTCTTTTTTATTCTTTTATAACTAATTTAAATATCATATTAATATTTAAATAAAGTAAGAACATCTAAGTATGACATAAAATAATATTATATAAATAAGTAGGATATTTACTCGTGAAGGTAATGATGGTCGGTATAAAGAAGATCGAAACCCCGAGACTTCTTAACAGAATATATTTCTATAGTAACTTTAATATCACTTGGCGTAAAATATTTAACTGGGAAAGTAAGTGGTACAGGAGAGTCGAGATACCTATGAGACGTAAAAATTAGTTTATAAAAGACATATAAGTTTAAAAAAAATAATTGCAGGACCCTTAATAAGAATAATGCACGATTTGTCATTTGAAAGGAATATGAAATAACTTTATTTTTGAAAATGTAGCATTGACTGTTTGCCTCACTTTATTAGGAAATAATAGAGTAGAACAAAAAAACACCCAAATAAGTCTATATCGGGTGATAATTTTTTTATAGAATATTTTAATGATATAGTTTTATTCAAACTATAATACACAAATATTATTTTGTATGGGTTCGTATCATCACATCGCCGTTCACAACCGGAGGATTTGGAAGTATGAACTTTTCTTCCAGCAAATTTATTGCGATTTATAAGGATAGCATTTTGTATGAAAGAAATCTGACTGGGGTGGTACATAAGGAAGGTCAATTTTTTATTTTCTCAGGAGTTTTCCTAATAAATATGGATAAAATCCTCGTATAAAACATAAAAAACCCGTTACAAACATATGAAAAACGAGAAAATAGATACAATATTAAACATATTATTAATAAAGAAAATGTTACTGACAAACCGCTATCAACCGATATCAAACTCCACTCCGAACCATATTTTCGGTGGCAATGGTTATTCGTTGCTTACAGGTATACATTAAATTCCAATAAAAAATAAATCCAAAACTCCTAAGCATATAATTAAAATGTACAATAAATTCATAACTAAATTATTAAAAATAACCGAAATTTTAGCAAAGAAACAATGTTGTGTTTAGTGAAATCTATTTATTGATGTAAAAGAGTAACTCTTAAACAAGACCATATAACATTCTAAAAGGTTTTTATTCTAAATTATTAAACGTTATAATAGCGTCATACGTGCATGCTCTAATGCAGGTTGCATTTTTACACAACTCAATGAAAATATTTATGATCTATCATAAATAGTAAAACTAAATTTCTCAAAATATAATAAATTATACTCGACGAAATCAGGTCAGCACAAAAGTAAATAAAACAGAAAAAGGAGAGATTAATCAACTACCATCACGTAAAAACAACTGCTACCGATGAGGGAGGGAGTATGGTTGCAAGAATTCGAAGGCTTATACGAGTGTCGGGGTATACATACTGCTGGATGAATGTTTAGAAGTCATTTTAGATTCTGAGTGGAGCGAGGAATGTATTAGTTTTACAATAATTTTTATATTAGAATCAGAGCGTAGTAAGGGATCTATTGGATTGACTATGTCGTATGTATTTTATTTCTTTTCCGTCTGGGAACAACATTTTTACCAAAAACTTACTCAGAAGTATGTACTATGGGACCTTTTCTAAAAGATAATTTTCTATCGTTGGTACATTTGTAAGGTCATTTTTCGACTTTACAATGGGTGTTCGAAATAATTGTGAAAAACCCAAAAGAAAAGTGTAGGTAAAACGGCAAATATTTACGACACACCGCGGAGTAACCGTTTTCTTTTATTTTATTATGTCTAAAGGATGATTACTACCAGAAATATTACTTCATCGATAAATGATTAGTAATAAATTTTAATCTTATTCATATTTTGATACTTACAAAGTAAAGTGCTTCTCGATATCAAAATTAGTTTTCCTAATAGTTGGAAAAAACCAAAAAATGAAAATTTATGTGCTAAGTTACTTATTTAATATGTTTAACTTAAGTTTTTTACTATAAATATGGTGGAAAACATGAGTTAATAAAATATTGCATAATGATATTTTGACAGAAAACGTAAATTTGTTTTTTTCTGAACGTGATAAAGAGCGGAACGATTCTCAGCGGAGTTCAGTTGATAATGATGCTTTGTCAACAATATATTTTATAGTAGAATATTTAAATAGGCTTCAAATATTTTCTTTCATAATATTTGTTTAATGTTGTACCGATTTTCCCAGTTTATTAAATTATCCCCGGTTTTCCGATGTTTTATTTAGGTTTTTTACATTAACTGGGAAAGTACTCAGAAAAATCAAAAAAAATTTCGTACTTTATCACTTTTCTTGTCAAATATCTTTTCAGCCAATATTATAAATTAAAGAAAAATTTTTAATAGATAAATTGTGCACAGGAAAAAAAATCGTAATATTTTAATAATGTTTTTCGTACCTATTCCGGATTTTTTTTCAGTTTTCGCATTTGATGAGAAAACTCTTGAGAAAATCAAAAAATTGACTTTCTTCAGAACCTCTCTCCCCAAACTGATATCCTTGTGTTTTTCAATGACTAAATATTTGGATTTGGAAATTTATGTATTTACCGTTAAATATTGCTTTTTTTTTTTAATAACATTTATTAATTGTATTTATGTTCCAGCTTTTTGGTTTATTATGTTTCATATTAAGTATGTATTTTTTAATTCGTCTCTTCTATTATCTAATGATATATTATAATTCAGAGTTTGCTTTATTGTCGTCAGAAAATTTGCATAACGATTAAATTTTATTGTGTTTTATTAGGTTTTAAACAATACTCTGAGTGGTCTCAAAACCCAACCCCATAGGCCGTAAGTTAAAACTTTAATATTTTTATCAGAATATATGAATGTATGGATTGAAAGCCATATGAATAATCTAGAGTGGCGAATCGATCATCAAAACCAAATACCAATTATCGGAAAGTGCACATATATATTTGATAATTTTAATATGTGCGCTGTGGCTGTAATATTGTGAGTTTTTTTGTTAACTAATTCGAATATACCTTTGTTATTGTCCGGTTAAAACTTTATCTCATGGTCATACATGATATTCGGAAAAAAAAATCTAAAAAATAATTTTTATTGCCGTAGGTTTTTAAATATCAAGTTTTTTTTATTAGTTCCCATTCCAATTGTTACAAATCAAAACAGTAGTTTTATTGTGTGTATCTTATTTTTGGAATTTTCGATTTGTAGTAACTCACTATTCATAATTTTGGATTTCGCTATTAATAACGTCAATGCGACCGTATTTTTAACGTAATCGTATTTTTAATGTAAATAAGTTGTTTAAATTTATGTGTAAGAACGCTAATATTAAAACGCATTCAACGATTGAAGGCTAGTTAATTTAATTAATTTTTTTTTTTTTTGACATTAAAAAAAAAAATGCAATTAATTAGTTACAATTGAAAAATGAAACCACGAATTCTTCCGTTGGACTATGCTAGTTGCGGAGTCGCAGAGTTGCAATGTAATCACCCTCAAATCGAATAGTGAACAATAGATGGTAATTTAATTATAAAATAAAGAACAATGCAGTTTTATCGAACCAAAGATTAAAATATGTACATACAAATTGAATGCTCGTTTCGTAACATTGTCATAAATTAGTAAAACGCTATTTCGGTAAAGTAGTTTTCAGAGTATGTATTATTGTTTTTTTGTTGCGATGGAATAGAGAAATATTGTATATTAAGACACAATTTTCAAAGATATCACTAGTTCACCAGCCATTACGTGCTGATTCAGTTGCACGCTTCAGGCACAACGAAAACTCAACCGTCTTCAGTTTCAAAATACATTACTGTTTAACAGCGTCATCAGCGAAAAATACAACAGAGACTAGCATTCGGTAAAATTACCAACAAATCGTCAAAAATCACGTGAATATCCATATTTTCATTTTAGTATTCGTTTTTAAAAATATTAGAAGAGTTAAGCTATAATCACATGTACTTCAATACATTTTAGGCAGTGTAATTCGAGTGCTAGGTAATTTTAATTTATTTTTGTTAGATTCGATGACTCGCGAGAGATCTATTGGTTTTACTACGTTGTATTTTTTTATTTTTTTTTCTGCCTCAGAATCACTTTTTTACCATTAACTTGCTCCAAAGTGTGGACTGTACTACTTTTCTGAGGCATAATTTTTTCTCTTTGGTGTATTGGAAAGGTCACTTTTCGATTTCCCAGTGGGTTTTCGAATAATCATCATTTCTATTATGTTAACACGATTTTTTCAATTGGAGAAATATTTCTCCAATTGAAAAATGACAAGTGAGTAATTTTAAAGATTTTATTTTTTAATATCATATAGCTTGTGTTTGTTACTATAAATATTGCTCCAATACAAAAACGTAAAAAGGATATCTTTGTTCAATTTTAAAACTAGTTGGTGATCAGGAAAATCATTTTTAATTTTCTTCGTATTTTTTCAATAGTTGAACAAAACCGAAAACAAATGCAGAAAGTACAAGATAATATACGAAAATAATTATTTTATTATTTTTAATACTGTTTTTTTAATGCACTTCTATTTATTATATTCATCAAGACTTACTTGTATTTAGATATTTAGAGATAGAAAACGTATATTATTTTTTCTAGGCATAGTATGAAAATTCAAAACAATTGTTCCATTTTTAAGTTAACAATACACATTTAATTATGTGAGTATTGTACGTAACTTGTATTCG